TGAAAATCTAAAAACTCAATTGTATAGGCTTTAACAACAATATAGAAACAGGGTATTGATACACTGGAAAAAAGCGCTTAACGAATAAATACCTATACAACAGAACATTACAACAATAAGTCGACACTGAAAAAGGCTTTCGCTTGTGATTCATGTTTGGCACAGTAAATGACAATAAGACTCGCTTTTGATACCAGATAATAAATACTACTGTTTCAAATCAATCATTGAAGGGTCTTATATAACAAACTAGTTTAAAATATACAATAACAGCAATTTAAAAGTAATTACGTTGTAAACACGTATAAGCTTGACATAAAAACATCATAGATATAGAAGCCATTTCATAAATTGATTGTAATTTAAACCATTAGAGAGTACATACGGTTAATTAGCTGAATTGTGACCATGCTATTTTATTACTGTTTAAAGCTATCAATTACATATTGAATATTGTAAGATTCCATATAAATTCTTTTAGCTAGCGATTGGTCTTGCTTTGTTTAAAAAAAAACAAACAAAAAAACATCAATGTTTTATTCTTTTTGATAGGTGGATTCAATCAATGAAATACAGTGCAATAAAATTATTAATGAAAATAATAGACACACATTTGAATATTTGGATTTATATATTAAAAATTGTCATTTATTATCTTGTTAATTATGTACACAAATATCAAGATTTACTTTGGTATTTTTATTTTCACATTTCATTAAATTAACAGCATCAATAACAACAAAAGCAACACTACGGACAACATTACTTTTAGAAACTGTAATAGAGTAGAAAGTAATGTATATGTAGTATGTATACTAACACGAAATGTGCATGAAGAGTAAAATAGACGGAGGTATACAATTTGATGAAGGTCAGTGATTTGGTCATGTTGAGTGTATCATATAATTTATTTATGCCTGATGCTGTTACACACAGTGTCTGTAACTGGAAATTGTAGATTTACAATTGTGTTCGCTTTTTGTGTCCAATTATTGCATAAATTATTAAACTGGAATTAAGGTAAAAGCGGAAGTGAAAATGAAGTTATAGACGGCAATATTGTTTAAAACTAAGACAACTATACTTATGTTTATGCCTAAGATGTCATATTACAATTCATTATACATGTACATATATTAAACAGTATGTATTAAAAACCTAGCTACGAAACAATCGTTGACTAGGCATGTCAAGCATTTTCCTTGTCAAGCTATGCAAAAATAATTAATTAATCATCTTGTTTGAATGTCTGCTACTTTAATTTTAATATCGTGTATATTGACACATTCGTCAACATGGGAATTTCACAAAAAAGTCCTTGTTTTTTAATATGATTTTATACGTGTCAAAAATAGCTTATGACATACAAAACTAGTCACAAAAGAGTCGTTAAACGCCCTTTGCCATCACTTGTTTAGGACAGAATAAAAGTGGAATGATGGCTTCAGACAAAAATGACAATCCTAACATTTTTGTGACAAAAAAACATCTCTTTAACTTAAGGTTATTTCCCACATGAAATATCACATTTCTGGAAGTCAACATGAACCGGCTTATGACATGAATATGCAATTACATAATAAAAGTGTGATTATAATAATTACCGAATTATTTCACTCTAAGTCATCCAATAGATGTATTTCTTTGAAAAAGAAGTAAGAAAAAAAGAAACATGTTTAATTTTATTCATAGTTATTTATACAACTATATTGTTATTCTAGTATTTCCATGCACTCTTAACATGTTTTTAATATTTATTCTATTATATAAATATATAAATAAATAAATAAATAAATAAAACAAGTCTTAAAAAATTATTTTTAAGAAATACATTATGTAACATCAAAAATAGGAACAAAGGCTATGATTTCTTTACATTTACGATTAATTTTAGAATAAGGTCAACTATAGTAGAAATATCAAAATTTTTATTACAAGGTTGACACATTTGTAGTATCGTGAAGTATCGTAGTGTGTTGGTAAACATATTTCCTTTGTAACATCTTGCTGATTATGAGTTTGAACTGTTCATTGGAGGATAAATCAACAGTATTATATTGATATAACGTTGAAGATTATTTGCTAGGTCATATAAATGGCAGAAATATGATTTCAATGGCGCGCGGAAATAATTATACTAAAAGTGTTAATATATTTCTGCTTTGAAATGCCGAAGATATTCTTCATCAATTAATACATTTAAACATGAAAATGGTGAAAGTTTGAATTTCGAAATATCTACAGATGTCTTTTTAAGGCATTTATCATGGAACCATCAATGTGCCACGAAAGTGAAATTCTTTAAATATGGCGTATGCAGTATAAGGTTACAAATCATATGTAATTTTCCGAGTCGGTGTAAGCCAAACGGATTTTCTAAGATAACTAAATTTTGTCCTGTCAAATGAAACAGTATTTATATAATACCAGACAGTTGACAAATTGACCAGACCATATTGGGAGAATATAAACAAAACCAGACGGTATATAATTATCAAAAGAAAACAATATCAAAATGTACACATATGTCTGTTTTTCAAATTAACTACAAATTTGTTTAAAGGTTCAATCTTATATGAAAATGTAAAAGGAAAAAATGAAAACATAAACCCTAGTTATTGTTGGTTTAACATATATAGTTATATTTTATAAAAAGAACTTTACAAACATAATAAATTTTTCGAAATATGAATGCATCTTATCTTATTGTCAAAACGACAAGCTATCAAATTGTATTTCTTAATCTGGATCCGCATAATTATATCCTATTTCATCGTCGGATACCCACGGTTGATAAACATGTAACAGAACATGTAATCAACCGTTGGTAAATGCATCAAATTGCGACGATATACAGCAACAGGTGCGTAAAATATCGACCAATAAAATCATGTTTGGCAAATTTATATTCTCTGACAGCAAAGTTAAACAACTAGCAGAAACAAAATAGCAGTGCCCACGGTGTAAACCTGTTTCACAAGTCTTGCCAATATTAAGGCAAAACTATTCCCAAACAAAATGATTCCACAATAGTAATATTTTTTCTAGAATTAACGTTTCACTAAACGTCGTATAGAACGAGCGTTTTGACTGGTTTTAATCGCCTCATGAAATTGTGATGTAACCGATGGAAAAGCTGCTTATCAACTGGATATCGGCATGATAAATGTTAGTGGTTCGGCCGTGGGTATCCGACGTTGATCCGATAAAAACTTTCTTATCAAATAAACTTTTCTATAAACTTCCTTTTCCAGAAACAGATTATTCACTAGAAAATGGGCATACTGGTTTAATAACATCTACTTTTGTGAATGTCAAACAATTTTCAGACACAGAAGATATATAGTAGTAGAACTATGATGCTGAATTATTTGTACAACTAGTTTCAGCTCAATCATTTGTCTGCACAAAATTAAACAACTTTACAAATGAGAAAAAGGTTCGATACAAATATACAATTTTATCATCTATAACTCAAGTAGACAACGTTTGATACATATGATTTCTATTCATTTTCGGCTTTACCTTAGATATATTGTAAATTTGGTTTAAACAATATTTATTTTCAATAAATTGATACATAATATATCATACAAAGTAAACATGAATAATTACAGAGAGATTTAACATTTAAATAAAACTACAATGTATACAGAAATTAATGAGTGTACTTAACATGTAATCTATCAGAATAGAGGAGAAAGCTAAAAGTTTATGCTAAGCCTCGCTCCTGTATTGTAAATTTCCCCTGTTGAAACAACTTCACTTGCTTCCTTCCGTCCTTCCATATTGATCTTGTTTATCATGTTTTTGTAGTAATGCTCAGAAAGAAATGAATCTAAATACTATGCACAGTTAATCATTTACAGCTTACTATATTGTATGTTATCTATGACGTACAGCGTTTTCTACTTTATACAATTATGCGTATATGATATGTTTTAATTTTTGAGCTTTAAAAACTTTTAAGGTTTTATCCTTATGTGCATTTTTGTTGCACAAATTATAGTAGATCTTGTTAGTGGCTTACTGTCAGTGATACATGTTATAGTCAGCTAACTTTCCGTTACTGACCAAATGTAGTCAAATTAAGACCAAATGTAATTCAATTTAGTTTGATTAAATTTGACATTGTATAAAAATGTAAATATTGCTTTTGGTATTTGATGTATCCTAAAGTTTCTTTATAATACCAGTTATGTACCATGTGTTACAAAACAAAATTAAATATAATCTGGAAAGGGGTTACTCAAATCTGCCTTTAAGGGCGGCCAAGGCATCAGTTTTACACCCACCGATCGTTGGAGGCGATTAAATGAGTTTGAATTACTGGGGTTTATGCATCTCTTAGTTCCACCATATATGTTGGTTTTGAACCCTTGTATTAAATTTATAACATCCCAGGTTAACCAAGATCATCTTTTCTGTTTCGTCGCTACAGGACTTAATTTGTGTATGTGCGCCGTAAAACCAAAAAGACACACGCAAACAAAAAACAACACGAAGAATGCAGTCAAAATATTTGATTATAATAATATAAACTAAATTTCCTCGTTATTAAATGTAACAATAAAGTAGTATCATCAAAAATCTCTTTTAAGCTTAAATGGATTCAACGGGGGTTGCGTTCATTGAACGCCGTATTTCCTTGTTGATAATGTCTATCATATTTTCTGACCTGACTAGAAATATTTTAAATTGTTTATGATATTACATTTACATATTATTTTAAATGACCTTATAAATACATGTAGGATTTTATACTTTATGATTATAGGCTTTTGGAGACCCGTGGAGCTGACAAATGAAAGTTGTTTGGTTTTACGGCGCACTGACACAATAAACAAGATAAGGTGGACTTCATTTATTAACGCTCAATAAACCTATAAATAATACGCTACTGAATATTTTAACTAGAGGAACTAACTAGCCTTTGTTTAAAAGAGGTCACTTCTCGTGTCAAGCGTTCTTGTTGTATGGCCTCTTTTAAATATCAGTAGATGGGAAGTGGGGATCCGATGCTCCGCTGACCTTCTGGTGACCTTATCTGATGACCTTTAGGGGGCTTATCCGCTGACCGTTCAGATAGTTGACCTGAGGTAACCCTGAATGTCCATGTTGTTGACCCCGTAGGTCGCTAACCGTTTAGTTTTCCGTTATTGTTTAACAAGCCATGACCAATGATTTTTCCATCAACTTTGCATTCATGTTTTAATATAGACTGAATATTTTACGTTTATAATGTCATCCTCTAACAATAATAGCCAAAATAAGGAATGGTGTTTTTCATGTGATAAGTTAACCCTTAAAACCCATCTAAGAAAACTACCTTTATGTGGACATCAATGTTGTAGAAACTGTTATTTTAACATTCAGAAAGGATGGTCCTGTAAGTGCTCCATTACAGAATTACCAAATTATGAAGCTATTCCATGGATTGAAAGTAATGTTGATTGGGAAGATGTATCACAAAGCTGGTTAAATACACATGCTGATCAATGTTTACTTTGTGGACATATATCAATTCATGCAAATTTTAGATCTTTACCAAACTGTGGACATAAAGCCTGTTTAAAATGTTACCATGATGTCAAAAGAGGGTGGTGCTGTTTTTGTTGGGACACACATCCATATAATATATACTATGAAATGATGCGTATTTGTGGGACTTTTGAACAATAACTACATTATAATTTCATAACTTACCAAGCTTTGCTTATCATAATAATGAAATACAGACCAGGCTCAATTGCGCTTAAAGAGATAAAGATATATGAAAATGCAGGGCATTATATTAAGTGGGAAAAAAATTCACAAAAATCCCACGAGCAAATAAAGATAATAAGGAGTAAGTTAGAAGAATTAAAGAAAAGACAGCGAAATACAAGAAACGAAACATTGAAAGGAAGTTTGGAGCGGCGAATTATAACGATGACAGGAGTATATAAAATGTATCGCTTATTTAGAAGAAAGTGTTTTAACAAAATGGAAGAATATAGATGTAACATTTGTTCTTTACGAGAGGAAATCAACCGTTTGGAAAGGAGTATTCAAAGAACATAAAACTAGATTAAAGTTTGAGCGACTTAAATTACTGACACGAACTCCATTTTAATTATTTTCTCTATAAATATAACAAATGAACAACGCTTGACCGGTTAATTTCACAGGTTTCAACTATGATGACAGTGTAGTAATTATGTTACACCGGAATAAACCTGCGTGAAATTTTAACAGTGGTTTTAAAATTGAGTGTGGTCTCATTGGTGGACACTGGAAAATTTATGTACCTTTAATAGAGATACTAGAGAACTTCGCAAAAAGACTATAATAAAATAGAAGTAATTGTATTTAACATTGATGTAACAAATATTTGCAAACTATAAGAAAAGAAATGCAGTAATAAAATATTTTAAAATTCATATTTTGTTATATATGAACCCGTACAATACATTTATAAAAAATTACTCTATTTATATGAAATATTGTTTAAAAATATATACATTATTACAACATACATCATATTGTTATTCATTAAGTCGAGAGATACATATCAACCCATCAGTTTACAGATTTAACATGTTCCCCAATCCATCAATTTAGAAGGATAGAACAATTGTATTGAAGACAAACACTTTTTCTTCAAAAACTTTTATTTTAAACTGAACTGTAAACAAACAAAAAACAATATAACAAGAATTAAAAAAAATACAAAGCATTTGGCACCAATTAATAATAAAACACTTATTATTATCTAATAGCATCTTTGTCATTTTATATAAAAAATTAACATCACAAAAATATTTAAAGGCAGTTCCCATAAAAATGACTAACGGTTTTTTTATTTATAAATATATGAGGTAGTTGTCATAAAAATTATTAAACCTAATTTTTTTATTTATGAATATATGAGGTAGTTGTCATAAAAATTATTAAACCTAATTTAAACAGGAAATTTTTTTTGTTCATCTTTGAAGCAATTGAAATAGTATAATTTTACAAAAACAATGAGCATTATTCAACCAATAAAAACAATAAAATTTAAAATGCAAACAAGTATTTAACATAAAGCTAACATACAATTTAGAAATATACAAAACATTTTTTAATGTTAATATAGATATAAGTTTTTGGATTCATATTTAAATAAAAGATCTTTTTTGATTAATAAAAATGTATATATCATTTACAACTAAAAATACTAACTTAAAATTTACTCCACTTGTTAAAATTTATCTATAATTAAATCTTCCAACCTATTTAAACTTGTAAAATTTATCTATAATTAAATCTTCCAACCTATTTTAACTATTACTTTAATATTAAACATACTAAATATGTAGATTAGTACTTGTCAAACCAGAATACTGTTTGAGGGCAAATATAAACTAATTTAGGTATAATGAAAAGTAAACAACTCCACCAAATACTGATTTGGAATGTGATAAAAAAAAAGGAATGTAAGATTAACTGATATATAGGAAACTAATATCAAAGTGGCACACATTTATAAAAAGCAAACAATATAACCAAAATTAAAAAAAAAATATACATAGCATTTGGTACTAAAAAGACACTTTCCAGGATCATTTCACCACAAATATATTTTTTAGTTTAACAATATATCATAAAAAGTAATGTTTATGAGATAAATATTTCAAACAAAGTTAGCTTTAATAAAAAAAAAAAAAAAAAAAAAATACTTAACTTATCTGGAATATGATCTATTTTTATTACCAAATTAACAATCAATAAACAATATGACAAAATTAAAAAAATATACATAGCATTTGGCACATAAAAAAAAGGCACTTTCCAGGATCATTTCACCACAAATATATTTTTTAGTTTAACAATATATCATAAAAGTAATGTTTATGAGATAAATATTTCAAACAAAGTTAGCTTTAATAAAAAAAAAAATACTTAACTTATCTGGAATGTACCTTAACAACATATGATCTATTTTTATTAGCAATGTAAACAATTAATAAACAATATAACAAAATTAAAAAAATATACATAACATTTGACACTAAAAAGGCACTTCCTGAAATTATGGAATTTTACACTAACAAAAAAAGTAATGTTACTATCACCTGTTAATTCTAAGTGAAGTGTATCTTACACATAAAAACCTTCTCACCCCATTATTTTTCCACAACTTGTATACAACACTATCTAATAAAAAAAAAAAAAAAAAAAAAAAATACTGTAGTAAGAAAAGTGCTTAATAGCAATATACAGTTTTACATAAATGTTTACTCTAACATATATAACACATGAAACTTCACTCATACTGTAATCTAAGTGGTCGACGTCTGTTTCTAGTGGGATACCGTCTGAAAGTTGCCCCCTGTTTACGTCCCACAATAATAACCATTTGTATTATATAATCATGAAACTGAACAAGTTTTTCAAGGATGATGTTTGATAATTGATTAAGAATGAATGAGATGATAGTGATCATAGCTGACCCCAACAGGAATAGTGCATAATCTACAAAAACATAAATAAAAACAATATTAGTGGCTAGTTTAACTTAACCCTTAAAACATTTACTTATTTTTGTATGTATTACTGGAAAGAGTAGATACTTCAAACAAAATATCGGAGCTTTCACTTGAGATATTGGACATTCTGTCAAATCCTGATAGTTCAATATTTTCTGCTGCAGGGATCCCAGATGGTTTTTTTCTATAACATCTATTTCTACATTTACAACCACATCTCTTCCTACAGATGATAATTATGAATATGATAATTATGAGAAGCATGATGGAGCCGGGTAAAACTGTGATGGCGATGATATGGTTTTTACTGTCTATTGAAAAGAAAAAAAAAATAATACACTACTTTACCATGATGAGCATGAAACGATGAATGAACATATTTTTTTTTCCTGGTTTAACAGAAGCACTTATTGTACATATAAACTTTTTATAATACAAATTTTACACACTAGTTATTTCCTGCATTTGAAAGTAAATTTTACTTTTTTTATCAGTATTTTGATGTTTTTTAATACAAAGATAGTTTTTATATAATATAAAGCTTAACACACATCCTAATATGACAATAATGGATAACACTATAACTATAATTAATTGCCATGACAGTTTAACACTTGTCTGTAACTTAGATAGACTAATGGTACTAAAATCATACAATGCGGTGCTAGTAATATAGACAACAGTGTAGTTTGAACTTAGTATAGTAAAATTAATAATTCTACTAGTACCTATCCACTCATCACTTTCAGTAGTTTGCTCTAGTGAAGTTGTTTCTGTCGGGATCATACTTGAACCTGAATATAAATTTAAATGAATGAATATAATATTTTTTCTAGGTTTAATGAAAGCTTTTATTTTATATATAAACTTATTATATATAAACTTATCACACAAATTTTACACACTAGTTATTTACTGCATTTGAAAGTAAGTTTTACTTTTTTATCAATATTTTGGTGACGTTTTAATACAATAATTTCCATGATAGTTTAACACCTGTTTAGATTTATATAACTTAGATAGACTAATGGTACTAAAATCATACAATGTGGTACTAGTAATATAGACAACAGTGTAGTTTAAACTTAGTATAGTAAAATTAATAATTCTACTAGTACCTATCCACTCATCACTTTGAGTAGTTTGCTCTAGTGAAGTTGTTTCTGTCGGGATCTTACTTGAACCTGAATATAAATTTAAATGAATGAATATAATATTTTTTCTAGGTTTAATGAAAGCTTTTATTTTATATATACACTTATTTTATATAAACTTATCACACAAATTTTACACACTAGTTATTTACTGTATTTGAAAGTAAGTTTTACTTTTTTATCAATATTTTGGTGACGTTTTAATACAATAATTTCCATGATAGTTTAACACCTGTTTAGATTTATATAACATAGATAGACTAATGGTACTAAAATCATACAATGCGATGCTAGTAATATAGACAACAGTGTAGTTTGAACTTGGTATAGTAAAATTAACAATCTACTAATACCTATCCACTCACCATCTTTCATAGTTTGCCGTAGTGAAGTGATTTTCGTTGAAGGTATACTGGTTTGGTGTGAAGAAGTGCTAGAAGTGGAATCATCACCGGTATTAGGCTGAAATATAAGATAGTAAATTAGAGTCTTTGCCTAGGAGAGAGAAATTATCATAATTTTTAACACTTATGTTTCAGTAATATTTAATAAAAAGTTATACCCAACATTGTTATTTATTATTAATCATGGTAAATTTTAATTGTCTAATCCTCTAGTTTAGTTAACACTTCCTGTTATCATAATTCTATATAAAATAGTAAATTGTACACCTATTATAGGTGTATGAATTTATTTCAAACAAACTTTAAGGATCATTTTGATATCCTACTTACCACACAAGTGAGTGCTGGTTCACTACCAAATTGTAGCTCTACTGGGTGAACATGACCTATCAGCTGCTTGCAGTTTGCCACACCCAAAGAAACATGTACTGTATTGACACCCGGGAGATTTGTTAAATCTATTATTCCATTCAGTCTATTTATTTCTACTCTCTGGATAATGGTGTTATAGTGCATGAACCCATAGTTGTCATTATTATTCTGCAAATTTGTACAGTCTATAAACACTTCCAACTCAACATTGCATTCCACATTCATTTGTACAACATTAGCGCTAACCCCCATGAAAAGAACTTGTATCAGAAGCATATACATTATGAATTTGTGTTGAATAACAACGTAAATATGACTAAATTTATCAAACGCAATAGTGAAATTTTGTTTCATAATAAGTCAAGGACGTTAAACCTTTTTCTCCTCCTTTTTATTAATTAACCCAACGTATACTAAATGCCAACAATTTTAATTATAGGCAAGGACATCTTTATGATATTATGCTATAAAATATCTACTTTAGGAAGTATTATTTATTTGGGACTCCTAAAGATATATAAATTGCATTTACAGTTCATTTGGATTCTTAACACTAAACCTCGTGAAAAAGTATAAATACTGGCATGTATTTTGTTTACTTAAGAAAGGTAAAGTGTGAGAGTCACTATGTTTTACACTTTATTAAGATTTAATTTAAGATAACTATATCACTGAAGTATTTCATTTCAATGTACATTGTTAGAGGTGGTACGGATATTACTTGAAAGAAAACTTTTAGATTATATCTATAATGTGGCGAGGTGCCATGGTACCACTGACAATTATGTTAAACAAAGATTCACCTTTTTAGTCGCTTTATTTTATAAAACATATCCAATATAGATTTTTTTGTTTACCTTTTGAATGGAATTTCCATATTTATGGTTCCATTAACTACACACAACCCACAACTTATAGTGATTGGTTGTTTTAGTAAGTTACTAATTAGCAACATACATATTCATTGATGATTATTTTTTCAATGAGTAGTCATTGATTTTGATTGGTCATAGCTTTTTTTTGCACTTACATGTAAAAATATAAATGAACACATAGCTTCCTCCTCTCCCTCACATCTTTTAATAAAGCGATACCAAGTTTCTCATTTACAGATTTTATTTTTCCTTTTAAAATAAAATGGCATCTGGCTTTGAAGAAATCTATGGGAAAGATGGTCTTATTTCTAAAGTTCGTGCCAACTTTGGTAAAAGTAAAGAGGTGTGCATGAATGTGTTTAATGGTAAAACGTATATCCATATAACCGATAAAAGTAAATGTTTTGTAAATGGGAAATTTGATCCGTCTAAAAGTAAAAGTGTTACTCTAAGTTATGAGGAAAGTCTTCAACTTAAGGGATTAATTGAGATTGGTGGAGTCTATGATGTTACCTTTCATCAACAGGGGGTAAGTCAAATTTATATTTTTGATTTATGTCAATCGTGGAATTGTTATTGTCCTATTTCTCCTGTTTCTTATTATGTATTTATTTTGTTTAATCAAAGACTTATTCACCTCAACAGCAGCAACAACAACAACAGCAGCAATATAACACTGAACGACATTCACAGCAGCAGCAATATCAACAACAATTCCCACAACAGACACCGTATCAAAATCAGCCAACATGGACCTATGTTGGACAACAACAACAACAGGCTAATCCGCAAGTATGGGACGATACTGCTGTTTTTTTTTTTTTTTTTTTTTTTTAACATGTAATTTTGTTTTAAATTGAACATGTATATTCGCAGCAAAGTCTTTAAATACATTACAAATATATTATGCATGTAATAAGGAGTAATTGATATATTTTCAGTTAATTGCCATCCCACTAAACCCTGAAGGTATGTATTATGTTTAGTCAAGTATATGATGTTACACTGACCAATAATACAATAAAAATTAGATATTTGACAAGTTAGCACGCCCTGCCCTTTAAGTGACCAATCCAGGACTAGATACTATGACTTTGTAAAAGTTTATAAAGTAAAGTTAATCGTGATTTTTACACTAGCTATTTAAAAATGTCTTGCAGGAAAGCAAATTGCATCGCCTTCACAGGATATATCTGTGAAAAACAAAATTATAATGGTGGGGATTACACTACTCACCTTGAGGAATGTCTAAGACAATTTAATAATTTACGTATAGAGATGAGGAGGATCTATTTCTCCTTCTTTATGATTTACAAACAAAATGTTTATAATCAGCCAATTTTTTGTATTTGTGGGAAAAGTCCCCATGACACGGAGGAATATGTGGGAATATGACAAATTAGTTTTGGAATAGACTAAAAGGTAAAATTTTTTGATATATATTATTATTTTATAGCTTTAGCAACGGGAGAAATTGACAAAAGCAGACAAGCTTCTATAATGCCTCCACCCGCAAAAAGACCACACGTTTGGGTATGTTTCCTTAATTGATAATCACAAATTTTACACACCTTTTAGTTCATTGTATTGAAATCAACACTAGTTTGATGCAAATATAATATAAATCGTTTTATCAGGTATTTTCCTGATTATTCATTTATTTTTTTATTTTTTTTTTCTAGGATGATGATGCTGACTTTCAGTAATTGGTATGTTTCTTTTTTCTTAAAATTTAATATTTAAAACAATGGATTGTTATAGTCACTTCAAATTAAAAGTTTTTTTAATTACCAATTTTTTTTCTCTTTTTCAGGACCAGGATGATTCCTCACCCCAAGATTGAAATTAAATATATAACCAGAAAATAATAAAGTAGATTTAGATTTGATATGCATTTATTTATATATACATACACCGATTCATAAGTATGCAAAAGTAAATTATTTATTAATTTTATAGTGTCCATAAGCTAAACTGGAGATCCCATCTTCTTGCAAATAACGTTTATCATCAAAGCAAGACAATCCTGTTTTAACAATATCTTCACAATAAATTTCATGGTTATGACTTCGAATAAGTGTCATTTTAGAGTGTAATTGAGATTCTTCAAACAAAACATGTTTATAACTATCGAGTCTTAAATCTTTGTTGACTGTCACTTTGGAAATACCCTTTGCACGTTTTTCATCACGATTATCACAACTATAGGCATACATTTTCGACCGTAATCCAACAAATTCGGAGATACATTTTTCATTCGTTTCTGATTTCATTTTACCTAATACTTTTTTATTGATATCACTTTGTAATGGATGATTCTTTGGGAAATCTGATGTGTCATATAAGTGTGAATGAGCTTTCATGTCATCGAAAATGTTTTCTGTTTCGCAGTAAAACAAAAAGGAGTCTGTGTCTGTCATTTGTAGTTGAAGTTTTTCACCATACATGCTTTTTAAATGATTATAATAAAAATCATACATTAAATGTTTACTCAAATCTAAAATGCACATCCCAACATACATGGGCTTATTTAAATTCACTTTGACACGCTGTAGTTCCACGGCCACTAAATCTTCAGAAAAAATCCGATGAGTCTTATATATAGGTTTTGCTGCTAGTTTTTTCATGCGCTTTTCCCTGTGGCAAAGTTCAACATTCTTATGTTTACGTACATTTTCCATCGTTTTACCTGTAAAAACAAAAATGTATGGTAAGTAACATTTTATATGTTCTTTATTATGATAAATTTTATGACTTTTGAAACGTAACTTGTGTTGATTTAGAACAAAAACTATTTATGGTGTTTAATATGCATTGGGGTAATTAACTATTACCATTATCCGGGTACTTGCGAAATGCCCGTATGTTTCATTTTTTAGTTATTTCACGTTAAATTTACTTAATTAAATGACTTGTGATGAAAATATAAGATTGTAAATAAATAATTGTGATAAGGAAATACTCACCAAAGACGGAATTGTTCATTAGCTTGTAAAAATTCTTTTCAAAGGTGGATTTGGCCCTTTTCCTCATGTCGGTGTTGAAGTCAACATACGGTTTCATCCAGGGTTCTTGTTGAAATTCCAGTACACGATGAATTTGTTTGATTTCAAGACCCAATTGTAAGTATAGCTGTAAGTTTCTATAGTGCAGGATATATTTGTCTTTGTCATGTAATGTTGTTAGTAATTTTGGAACTTTGGAGCGTGTTGGTAACTGTCCATTTTCTGGTATTCCATGTAATTTTTCCAGAACTCGCATGGCATAGGGAGATAGTTCATGATCCCCTATGTATTTACTTTCAGGTGCCAAAGGAAAGTCATTATGCTTGTCATGGAGATGTTTTGGATAGTGTAAACTCACCTCTAGGATGTAACCCTTTGAGTCATCAGCCGGAATGGTATGAACCTTAAATTCATCTATTTCATTTTGTTCTAAAAACCTAAAATAACCTGTAGGTAATGATTGACACATCGCGAAACCATATAGGTTGTTGGCATCTATGTAAAAAAGGTAACTGTTTTGTTTAGAACTGTCATAATCACTTAGATATTCATTGTTTGCTTTTTTGTATCTATTAGATATTTGACTGATACCACCCCGAATGCCTTTTTCTATGAATAAAACCTTATCAATGTCCGTCAAAAGCTCAAGACATACCCCAGTCTTTTTAAGCAAAGCCTGCCAGCTAAGACCCGGACTTGTATAAAAATGACAAGGATCTAATTCATATTGCTTAAGACACACCTTCCGAAATTGTTCAAAAACATCGCTTAAAAGTAAAACATCTGTTTTGAGATAAAGGTCATGATAATCACCCAAATTATGACATAATAACGTTTCAAAAACAGTTTGGGCATGTTTATAATCTTTGTTTGTAATGTGCTCCCTCTTGATGTCATTGTAAAAATTTTCTTGTGTTGGTAGGGTTGTTTCATTAAACTTGCTTTCATCATCCATATAACTATAGGGATAAATACCTTTTCTTAAAAGGAGGTTAAAATGTTCCATGTTTGGAAACTCACTTTGTAAATGTGAGAATGCATGTGAGCCCTCAGAGGATAAATTTTCTACTAAAGTTTCTAGTGACGAGGGTAAAAATTGAAAACTGTCTATAAACCGTAAACTATCAAGTGAAAAACTAACATATCTTTCCATATTTTGAGGTATGCATTTAATCGGATAGTCTTTGAATACACCCACACTTTGGCATAAACAGTGTGCATCAAAATTTCTAAGACCATGGAATATAACGGGGATAAATTTAGCTTGTTTACATTGTAAATTACAATTCATGTGAGCTGCCCCAATAAATTGACCTGTAAAATGATCATGGTGCCTTGCACGCTGCTCTCCATCATTAAATAATTTATGACAAATACAACATGTGTTTGCTTTATAAAATAATTTATAATCAGCCCTAGTTAAATGTAGTGGTTCAATATCTTGCAGTATTTCTTCAATTTCTTCTTTTTCTTTTAACAGACATTCCAGTAACCTTTCAGTAGCATCTGAACCTCGATATATGACTGTGGGTTTCGTGTACTTGGGATCAATGCATACCACCTTATAACCAAAACTACAGGGTGTTAACAGTGTTGTGGGCGTGGTACTTGATTGGTTAGGATTTACATCACAAGAAGATAGTTTTCTATTCAAAGTCTCAAAATCGGCATAAATTACAAAAGGTACTCTAAGTGTTTTTTCATAATCTTTAAATTCTAAAAAACAATCCTTGTTAGATGGTAATTCAATCTTTTGTTCACCATGAACTTGACAATAGGGAATGTGTTCATCCAACAAAGATTGTTTAGTAAACATATGTAAACAGTAGTTACATGTAAACAAACCAGTTTTATGAGTTTTAGTTCGACTCAGAAATTTATTTATATTTTTAATTAGGCAATAATGTGTTGTTTCCTTATTTTGTAGTAGAAGCAAGTTAACATGATAAAGCCGACCGTGTTGTTTGGTAATTTTTAATGGGAGAATTTCATTTTGTTCAAAGGTAAAAACATTAATTGATATGTTCTCATTTTGAGATTCAAATTTATCTATTTGATTTAAAGAAACTGGATAGGTAATACCTTTCATATTAAGTTTATTTTCATGCTGAAGATAATGACATACCAATTCAGGTCGTGACTCAACAGGGTGAAGTAAGGCGAGAACACTGTAGGCAAAACATTTTTCATCACTGTTTTCCACATTAAGAATGCAATTCGAATGTTTGAG